TTAAGCACATTGTACACTGACTAATACTCACAATAGTTAGTAAAAATTAAATTTCTGGGCATTAAAAAAAAACCCCCCATAAACTAAGCTTACTCTTCTGCTGCAACCCCAAATCAATTCTACCTTTGTTTAACCACACTTACATTCAACAGTCCTCCTGGTGATTAGCACATTTTTACGATATATATCATATGTGTATGCTATGACACAGACTATTTAAAAGATAACTTAAGTCTAGGGGGAGGGGGGTTAGGTTAAAGTATTCAATTCTAAAAAAAACAACAACAAAAAAACCCACGAACATTACATGGCTGCGTGGGGCTATTAATGAACAATAAGCCCAGATAAGAAAACCTGTCATTAACTTACAGCAGTAAAGGCAGAAGTATAAAAAATAAGCCCCAACTTTTAACCACTAAAAGCCACATCCTTATTAAAAAATCTGAAGTTTGAATTTTATCAGAAATCTTCATGAATAAAACGTGTAATGCTTTAACATATACCAGAACCTTGATTGTCTGAATTTACTTTCATTACTGGAGTTTTTGCTATGTCCATTTTTTTCTCATCACGTCTGTGTCTGTCTGCCTCTTTTTTATTCTTCAGTTCTCTATCACTTGTGAAAATTAATTTGTTAATTAATGTTATTACTAGAGTTAAAATCTTATCCATTAAAAAAGCAGGAAGCATGCTGCTCAAAGGACTGATAACAGTACATTTACAGAGGCCGCTAACACACTCCGGTTCTTGTGTTAAAAAGTTTTGTCCTCAACAGTAAGTACTGAAGACAGAACATTTTGGCTCGGAGCATCAACCAGCAACAGGCTCAGCTATTAACCACTCATACAGATAAATTGTCATGGATGGAAAGTAATGAGGCACAAATAAATGTTGTAACATGTTTACTTGATTTTTTAAAAAAAGATTATCATCAAAGAATCAGTGAAATTAAAAACTGTGTTGTCCTGTGCCTGCAAGTCTGAGCATAGAAATATGTATGACAGTGCACACACAAACACCGAGAGGCACACACACGCATATATATGCACATAAAAACAAATATACATTTCATTACAAGTGAGATTTAACTCTTGAATATTATAGGCATCAGTCAAAGTATTAAAAAAACTCTGGGAACTAAAATAAATTCCATGAGAGATGAACACTGAATGTTTCCAAAAGAACGACATTCCTGCAAATCATACATGAATAAAGAGAAGGTTTACATTGACAAGTTTGAGTAGTAAAATCCAGGGACTAAAACTATCTCCAAAAACAGAGAAGTTCAAACAGGGACTAGTACATTCTGACATGGCTTCTGCTGATTAAAAAAAAAAAAAAAAAAAAAGGTAAAACCTTGCAATGCACAAATGAGTGAATATTTACACAATGAACCTCTGACAAAAAGTCAACGGAAGTGAAGAAAACCTTTTGTGGACATGAATGAAAGTTTTCAAAGGTGAAAATCTTTGAACACCTCTTGATAGGATCAACTGACTCAGTGGTCTCATCTAAACAAGGAATTTGAAACTTGGAATTACGACATCTGAATTTTCCAAAGATTTACAGCATCAATATTACCTAGACAAGAAACTAGAGCTTTAGTTTAGTACCTCTTTTGGCAGAATGACCAGTCAATTTACAAAACTACATCCTAGCTCCTAGTAGACAAAATTTACGGAAACTGAAAATAATTGGTATTCGTTCAATACAGGGGTCTCAAACTCAAATAACCTTGGGCCTCTGGGGGGAAAGTCTGAGTGAACCTTGGCAACATTAAGTATTCCGCACACAACATACAAAAAAAGGTTTCAAATATCCTTTAAAAAAAAAACTTTCAAATCTTCTTTTCAACTTGTCAACTGGAAGCTGCCAATAGCCTGAGCTATGGTAGCTGATACGAGTGGAAAAAAATAAAAAAGCAAGGCCACACCTCGGCAAAAAAGGGTGCCTGTGCGAAAAACTTGCTGACCGTACTAATACTTACCCTTGATATCAAGTAGGGGTTGCAAAACAGTCCCACAAGCCTCAAAAGGCCCAAAGGCCACAAGTTTGAGATCCCCGATTTTAAGCCATCCCCACCAAATCTCTTCCAGCAAAAATAAATGCATTGGTCATTTAGACTAGACCCTCAAAAACAAGAATATATCCACCAGTCACCATAAAAGAGATTTCTCAAAGAAGAACAACAGGCCAGGTTTGAAAAATGAACGAGAAGACAAGTCTCAGAAGAATTCACAGAATTCTTTAAGACAAAAAATGGAGGTTAAACTTTAAAAAAATTCTTCTCTGAGGGATCTAGTTTAGTTTATGCTTTCCGTTTATGCTTTCTAAATCTTTGAAAATTCAAATTCAGGAGTTTATGTTATTCATAAATAAAAGGAGACTGTTTTCCACTGAGACTATTGCAACACAAAAACATTATTTAGAAGTAACAAAGAATGAAAAAAAACAAAAACAACTATAAACACAAATAAAAAATTTATATGCAACATAAGAGTATTGCCACTGAACACATCAGCTAAAATTTTAACTTATGGGTGATCGTTTTCAACCGAACATGAGCTACGTATGAAATGACCTGGTCAAATAGCTGGCCCATCACATCGTGGGTCCACTTTGAGCATCAGAAATCAGGGCCATGCCCTTAACACAGCCAGAGTATGTGTAGACTATCTATCTGAGCAGGAACGGACTGTAACATTCGACTAGCAAATTTTCATTTTCCCTTTCCAAAAACATAAAAAGTAAAAGTCAATGTAAAGTTCATTTATCAAAACAAACAATATAGTAACAGTAAGAGGCAACAAAACCCATAACGTGTTGAGCAAATAATGAAGCTGTAAAAAGATCTGCATGAACTTACTTCAAGGACAAAATACTGACATCAGTAACAGATAACAAAGGTAGACAAAATGAAATTAGAAGAAAAAGAAAAAAAAAAACTTCGAAAAAGAAGCAGGATTTCTAAGAGACAATGTCTAAAGTATGGCTCTGTGTGAATGACCACTTTCAGACCATGACAAACAAACATTCAAAAACATCTTTGTACGCCATATATAGACATGACATAACAAAACTCAACGACGAAAGCACACAATTAAACGAAAGATTTGTAAACTATATGCTGAGCACCTCTGCTATTAATGTATTACATATACCATTATGCAGATTTCATCGGAAAGTAACCAACAAGAAAGGGGGGGGGATAGAGGAGAACATCGGATATCAATATATTTATTGTACAAGAAAGAGATTTTAAAACTCCAGTCAAACTCTCTGCTTTTGGCTCTAGTTGACAAGGCACTGAAAGCTGCAAGGTTTGGCAACACTTAAGGCTGAGAGCAGAAAGAGAGGAGCGTGCTTCCTGTCTGAAGAAAAATGGCACTCAGAGAATCAAGAACAACATTGAATTGGCCTTGATAAAATACAACAAAAAACAACCCCAACAACATTGGCCGACAATATTTAGTGACATGACTCATTTCAGAAACTTAAAAGAAAACACACAGAACACATAATAGCCACAACAAAAAAAAGTTGTGTCGAAAAAAAATTGCACTCGAAACCAAGAAGATAATCCCAGTGTTGGTAAAAAAACACACACTGCAGAGAACAAAAATCACAATTAAGAAAACAACGACACGCTGCGGCAATAGCAACACAACATTTCAAACTGTTCTGTCATTATGTCTGAAAGAACCAACTTTCAAATTTGCTTGCACTATCCGTGCAAATGGTATCATGAATGGAGCAGACGGTCTACATAACTCCTTCAAAACTGAAAGGTCAGACTCCCGTGAAGTAAACTAACTTGCAAATGAAACCTATTGAAAATTAGAACCCTGCCCCCAAACAAAATGACTTCATGGCACAGCTTTCAATCTTTGAAAGATAACACATCAAATTGTTTGCACACCATCAGTGCATGCTATTTTAGAGGTAGCAGAACAATTGAACAGTAAATATACTTACTTGCAGTCAAGAACTAACAATAAAACTGACTCAAAGAAACCCCACCAAAAAAAGACTTTCAGTAATCACTTTTTCCAATACAGGTTAAACAGTATGGTAACAGTCCAACAATTAAACACAATGTGCCATAGAGAGTATAGCATGTCATGGCTAATCAACAATAACAGCATAAAATGTTACAGACAAGTGTTGAAAAGGTAACACAATAGCCAAATATTACAGGAAAAATAATTAATTGCAAAAAGGCAAAAGGTAATTAGCATTTAAAAAAAAAGGAAAAACGACATTATAAAAAAACAATTGATGATGAATTGACTAGAAATTATGTGTATACAAGGGCATTGTATTCAAGACAACACACATGGGTACAACACACAGGTACCAGACATTGCTGCAAGAGGTTGGAATATTTACAGCCTGACCTGTAAGCGTTAATCTTAATCCACAAGGGCCATGCACCCAGTTTTAAGCGGCATCCGCACGTTAAGTACATGAGAAGAATGCACGAAACGACCGTACACCAAGAATGTGATCTACAGTGGAGCAGTGCGGGAAAGTCAACCCGGCGCAAGATCATTGAATCTAGGCTTATCCAGGAAAAGAGAAAGATCCTGTTTCCAACACAGATCATAGCTGACAACTGAGAGGTAACAAAATGAGAGAAGTAAAAGAATAGAAACAAACAAAAAAAATGACGGAGTCATTGTCATTCAATAATCATTGAGCAAACCAAGAGATCGTCTGTGGGTGGGAATATGAGTCATAAACTTCATCACCTTGGCAAATACAATATCTGCTAAAATATAAATCATGAACTTGCAAAACAAAAGGCCAAATCATCATCATACATTCATTGTCCTGTTTTGAAACATAATTCATCAAAATACTAATTTTAAAGTTAGCCACACTGACTTCATAATCCACCTGTAGTTAATGATATATATTTTATATGCGTGGTTTTAGTCTTTGTAGTCTGTAACTGCAACCAAAGCTCGACTGTACTACACAACAAAAGCAGCATATAATTTTTTTTCTCTATGTAACTCTTGAAAACTAAAAAGGCATGGAAAATTTTCCAATCTTTAAAAATATGCAGTGATGCAAACTTTGAAACCTTAAAACGAAAAGGTAAGTTTACAAGTAGCACTGAAGCTAATGAAATGACTCATGTCATGTGTTCCAAGTGGGGAACTTGGTACTAAAAGAAATGAGGGCACAGGTACAAATTTAGTGACTATTTATACCCACTAACAATCCAAAAAATGAAATACTGTCAGCTTCATATAAATGCAACAATATTCCATCATTTTCTGTTCCAGTTGGCTTCATATATCTGTAACCCAAAACAATTAAGAATAAAACTAAAACAAATGACTCACTACCAAGAACACTAACTTTCATAGACTCAGAAAGTCTTGCACACACAGTGCTTTTAAACTGGAACAAAAATATACACAGCAGATAAAGCTTGAGTATTTCGTTAAACAATCTCCATGAAAAATAGCTAGTTAGTTATACCTACTTTAATTATATATTACATGTATAATACTATAATACTAGCTATATTGTTATTTAATCTCTTCGGTAACATTAAAATTAAAAGCTGGGACAAAAAAGCACCAATATTTATTCTGTATGTATCATTACATTATTACCACTATCGAGAATGTCATATTTTCTGCATTTTTGCAGGTCCATGCTTCTAAAAGATATGGACATCAGTACATAACCTTCGTTGCATTCTTGACACAAAGAGTCAGTATGACATTTTTCGACAGTGGAGAGCCAGTAAAGAGTGCTTAAACATAAAGAGAGAATACTATTCAAATAGGAGCAATGTGGAAACATTAACCTATAGTCACTCAACTACAGGAAGCCAAAACGCTTGAGCTACTGCACATCCCCATCATCATCCATGAAAGCCTCAGCTTCGTAGTCTTCTTCGCCCAGCCCTTTCTCGCAGCCCTCTTGCTTCATCTGGCCACTGTCAGCAGCTGCTGCATGCTTACTGGCCTGCCCGCCTTTTGTACTTGGACGCACTACAGCTGATCCGTAGCGCTTGCGGCAGATAGAGGGGTTGAAAGGAAAGATGCCAGCCTTTCGGAAAGTGGAGTGCAGGTTCTCTGCTGACATGTTGCGGTGATAAAGACGGCATAAAAATTCGCAGATAGAAGAAGAAGAGATCGCCGGAGCTTGAGCTGCATAGAGAGGCTTCTCTAGCTCAAAGCAAAGCTCGCGTTGAAAGGTGTTGCAGCAGCCGACAGCCATCGGATGCAGCTGGGAGTTAAGAGAAGACTGAGCTGTAACGAAGACAACCTTGAAGGCAGATCCTAAGTCAAGCACGGCCTGGCTCAGACAGCGGCCTACGTTTGCGTCGAGAAGCAAGACAAGAGTGTCTCCAGCGCGGCCCGGTGCCTGCGACAGAAAGTGCTCGCGCAGGAATGAAATCAGAACCTCTGAAGTGGCACGACCAGAACTACAAGCAACACCTCCCGTGCCTGGAGTTACTCCGGCCATCCAGGACTTGTCCAAGGTTTTCCCTGGAAAAATCAGAAATGGCGGGAGGGCCTGTCCAGCTGCGCTCCCACAAAACAGAACACTGGTGGGGACCACGCCCTCAAAACTGACCTTGTGCTGGCTTTTGGAGCCATTGAGGCCGGCAAGCAGGCCAGGGCTGAGGGAGTCTGGGATGGCCAGCTCTCCATTCCGGAGCATGGGCAGAGGCAATTCCATCAAGCTGAAAATGCAATGAGGGCTCTCTTTGACGCTATAAGTGGACAAGACAGAATCCAGCTGATTAAAGTGCTGCTTCTCAGGCCTCTCTGTTTTGACTTTGCGTGATTTTCTGATGTAGCACTCTGGGTGCCGAGTGAGGAAACTGCGAAACCACTTGACGGTTAAGGGTCTCCCTTGGGGTCGCTTACCTAGCTGCACAGCATATTCTGAGGCCATTTTGACCACATCCAGACGTGTGTATTTCATGCCCTGATCCTTCCACTGTTTCAGCTGAATGGCAATATTAGATTCTTCTGACTCAGAAAATATAGGGCGTCGTCCTTGAATGATGACCTCATTCTCAGCTGCTGCCGGAGCAGGGGTTTCTCCAAGTAGAGGCTTAGAGTCTTTGACGACGTCTTTTGTGTACAACTCTAGCATAGGAGCTAAATCCATGACCACATCGTGGCCATTTTGCTGGAACGCTTTCTTGACCTTGATGTCCGAGCTACTCTGCCCCCCTCGGCTGCAGTCCAGTGGCGACATGTCACCATCGACGCAGTCGTATCCATCCCATTCTGCATCTTCATTGTCCATGAAAGCCGACTTTGCCTCCACACTTCCATTGCAGTCATCATGCCCCTCTTTCTTCCGCAGGTGCTGGGGTTTTGTCTGACAAAAAAATAAACATAAAGAAAAATGAAAGAAACAGAAGAAGTATGCCTCACGGTAGCAGACCAAATGCACGAAAAGACAGGTCAAAGGAAATTTGAATCAAATACCAGAAAGGAAAATTAGACGTTGGAACAACTATACTATACAAAAACAAAAAGTCCGTAACATTCCCATTTTAGTAGAAAGCAAGATTAGGAAATTTTTAAAAAATGACACCAAAGCAAAGGATAACGGATACGAGTCTCCATTTTTTTCAATGTGAAGCAAAAATTGTGTTCACAATATACACCAAAAGATTAAATTTAATAGAAACCCATTTCCAAAGTAAGCTGAGAGACTTCTAAATTAAAAGCAACAAAACAGTTCACAGCTTTCATTGAACTCTAAGCATTAATATCTCTTGATGCATTGCTGTCCTATGCAGAAGACCTGAGTTGGATTCCTATGTGAGGAAAATTTTTATCCATTGATATCTTGGTTTTCCTGTTGGTGGGACCTGCCCCTCTCAGCCAGGGTTGGCCCTAACAAGCAGTCGAAGCCTGCCTCCTAAATCATTAAGATTGTGTCGATGTAGATGTAAAAACACCCTCATTTCAATCTTTTAAATGGATGGACATGAGGTTTCTACCTGAGAAGATTTCATTCTCAAAACTATATTGAGCACTACTGGGGTGCACTGGCTGTAGTTTTGTTTTGTTTCCCTTAATTTTTGCTACAAGAACATGAAAAAGGGAAAATTTGAATGAAATGATATTTTAAAAAAATATAAGCCTGAAATATTATACGAAACCATAATACTATCATTTACTACATTGACCAGCATCCATTATAATCTAATATATCGTCAACCTCTATTCTTTTAAAAACAGGTTTTTTGGGTTTTTTTTACTGTAATTTTAATCATTTTAAGAGGCAGGCTTCGGCTCTGCATGTAAGGGCCAACCTACGCTGCGGGGGACAGGTCCCAGCAGCAGAAAAGCCGAGATTATAAGGTGGGGATTAAAAAAATTATGTCCGCCCCAACATGGGAATTCAACTCGAGTCTTTTGTGTATGACAGCAAAGCCTCTAAGTGCTACACACCGCAAAAGTGTACACTCCACTGCTCAGTTGGGAAAAACATCAACCAGACACTCTAATGATACTAAAATCAAATTTTAAAAAAAGAAGAAAGTTCCAGTGTTAAACTGAAAATATTCCAAATGTTTTGAGATAAAAACTTCCCCAAGAAGTTAAAAGGGTTAAAATGTGACTATCAATATATCACAACCAGCAAAATATGGTATCATGTCAGTGACTGAAAAGCTTTCTTGATTGCGGTTAGAACCTCCCCACATTGTAACTGCACAATCAAACAAACAAAAGTCCAAGAGTATTTAGTATTCAAATAAATTTTGTGCTAGAATGTCCTTTTTATTTCCCCTATTGAGCAATTAGGTTTGAAATTTTCTTAAAATAAATGATTTGTAATGGTTTTAGTGCTCATATCATGTGAACTTTGCAGCCAAAAATTTGACGGCTTGATCCTCAAAAGCAGTGCATCTGCATGTAGAGGAGTGAAAATAAGGTCCATGATTTTGTACAGAGTACAACATTTTAAACTGAAATTTGGAAAGAAGCACACGTGACAACTATAAAGCATTATAATGACATTATTTGCCTGTGTTTATGCACAATATTTTAAAAAGAAGAAAAATTTTACATTCACATCTACACACGTATACTACTGCTGATGTTGGAGGCTTACTGCCATATTTTTGGCAGCAGAACACGGTGCAAAGCTATAGTTTTCAAGCTTCTATCTGAACATCAACATGATACAGGGAGGTGTGAAAGTAAATTCCCTTTTAAAAAAAACTGTTGCAAATCATTTATTTTCAAGAAAATCTAAAACCGCAAACTATGGGAAAAAACTGAGGGGCAAACCCCCTTGTTTAAATTTAATAATCACTCAAATTTTTTGTTACACCAGGGGAGGGTGGTGCTGCCCCCTGGAAACCGCTAGATAGGATCAAGTAACGGAAATTACTCCGCAATTAGGCTTTAGACAAAGAGAAATATAGAGAGAATAAAACCCATCAAATATTTCAAAAACGTTTCAATTATATATAAAGTCGATGTTTTACATATACGTAAAACGGAAAAAGAACACACAAAAAAAGGACTAAACCATACTGAGCATGAGGCGGTAGTAAAAGTAAAATAAAATTTTTAGACTAGATCCACATGCGCATGAAAACAGTTCTGAGGGGTAAACAGATCAGTAATTTTAACTGCAGAACACACACACACACATAGATCTCTCTCTCTCTTCTTTTATTTTTATTGGCTACTAAAACCCTTGCAAATCAACTCAATCAAACCTGATTGAAAAACATCAAATTATGGTGAAATACAGGGGGGCATCCCCCCTGGGCTGAAACCCATCACGTTTGGTGAACGTTAAAAACAAAAATATTAATACGCCATTGGTCCTATTATCCTTCATAGTAATATTGTTCGTATAAATAAAAATCCATAGAGGTATTTTTTTAGGAAGTGACTATTTCTCCGAACGTTCGGAGAAATAGTGCCGATCTTTATTTCTCCGAACGGTTTCCGGCTTCCGGTCTCGTGATTTTTTTCCTATTTATTGCCAGAGTTCGGCGCCAACTTTCATTCTGCCTCTGGTCTGGGAAGGAACACCGCATGGCAAGCCCGCCTACAGACAACCTTC